AATCCAGCTAGCACCACCTCTGCCACCCTCCTGCAGAGCACAGGTCCCTGGAATGGTGCACCTTGTCCTTCAGTGTGCAAATCCCATCTCCAAGGACCAAGTGGATCACACAGCGCTTACTCAGCCAGGCTTCCTGAGATGAAAGGCTGACCCAGCTCCTGAAATCTGAACTTGTGAGGCCCTGAAGTAGAAAAACATCAAAAGTGGATACTGAGACATCCAAGCTACCCTCCACAATGTCACACGTCCCCAGGCCAACCCAGAAAAGCACTACAGCACTTCCTTTCAACAGTGAAGAAACACGTGGACCATCTCTCAGTTATCCATGGCCCTCCCCCATTTTGCCCTTTTGGGGATAAGGTCAATGCTCAGTTAAGACTATGTGTTCTGTAATAGGCTACTACTATTCCATGCTTAACAGTATTTCCCAAGGATTTTTATAGGATGCCAGGCTTTTCTTGGACAGTATATCATACAATACTTAACTTGTTTGGAGTGGGTGGGGATGGAAACATAGCCTACTGAAAATATCTGCTTCCTCCCTGAAATTTAAAGAGCCTATTGTCATTTTTCTCTTAGATTCTATCTTTTAAGCTAAATCTCATAAAGATGGGCAGGAAGAAAAGAAGTGGTTATGATGCCATGGGTGGGGAAGTAGCTTTTGCTAGCTGAACAACAGACATCTGTAAATAAGCATGTAAATGGGGCTCAGCTCACATGGGTGGTAAGGGAGGGCACCCATTCTCCTAGAACAGAGCCTTGTGTCCCCCTCAAACACTGGCTTCCTCTGTGAGCCCACATCTCCCACCAGCTGGGATCACAGCTAGCTCACACACAGGGTTACCAACTACTGCTATTAGAAAGAGGCTTGGACTTTGAGACACGAAATATTGTTTGAACTCTTGGAAACCAGCATAGCAGAGTGGCCACTGGATGAGCTGCACAATTCAGAACGAACTAGCACAAATCCCAACCCATGTTCCATCTTTGCTATAAGAAATTAGGTGAGTTCTTTATCCTTTCAAAGTTTCCCAGGCCAAAAGCCAAGATGCTAAAGCTAGCTTACAGATCATCAAAGAGTCATGACGCTATTACACAGCCCTAAGAAGACCGTGAGAATTAAATCAAAAAATATGCTCAATGAACAGGCACGATATAATCCCCAGCACAAGACAAATGCTCAAGCGATGGGAACTATTACTATTTTAGCACTATGGCTATCAAGTTGCTCCTGTGTGACATTTCTAAATCTCAATAAGCCTCAGCTTGTCAATGGGGCTGATGTAAATAACGTCATAGCGCCAAATGACGATGAGGATTCCATGAAATGATTCCAGGAATTATGAGGCTTCTGCGATCTTTGAGCAAGGCTACTATTATTTGCATTGTTATTCGCCTTTGCTGATCTTGCATCCTGAAAAGTCTAGGTAACCTTCCAGAGGAAAGTTCGGAGCTAAGAGGAAAACCAGGAGCTCCCAGGAGGAAATGGAGGTGTGCAGAGAACATTCTGCAAAGCAACCCCTTTGCTGGCTCGTTCCCTAGTGAGAGAGTTAACCCTTCAAGTGGATACACGTTTTCAACCGGATCCAGTGAGAGGGAAGACCAACATTTTAAAAAATACTCTTACCTTCCCTGGTGTCAGTAGGAAATGGTATTTACTCACTACTGTTATTTTTTTTTTCAAAAATCTGTCTAGCTGCAAACTAGAAACAGTTTCAGCTGGCTTGTTTGTCTTGGACAGGCTGCTGGAGTGAAAAGTTACTGCTTGGCTGAATGTGGGACAGTTTCATAACCTTTCATGGAGGGCATGGAAGGTGGGTGCCAGCTCTGGGGAAGGGCGCCTCTGATTTCATTTGCCACCCCTGGCCAATGAGGACCAGGTAATTAAATTAAGAAAATGAGCAGAACAACCAATGCAACTGAGACCAAGTCCCTCGTGCTTTTGTTTTGTCATTGCCATTGTGTGCAACAAAGAAGTCACGTGTGGAAGCCCGGGAAGACAGCCAAGCCCAGAGCAGATGACATCCCAGCTGTTTTTAACACCCCCCCACTGTACACACACACACACACACACACACACACACACACACTGGAGGCATGCTACTTGGAGAAGCCATGGGTGTTTCAGCTGAGACAGATTCAGAATAAAAAGACCAGAGAGAGGACACCTTTGCTCAGACATTCTGCTTTCTGCCTTGAGAGGAAAAAACAAAACAAATCCCTGTTGGGAGCAGAAGACGAGATCTATAAGACTGGGCAGTGGAACCTCAATTCTTTTGCCACTTGGCTTAGGAATTTGAAAAGCAGCATGTTGCAGGACACACCTGAATATTTTCATCTACAAATTTGAAATTAATCATTGTCAAAGGAGAGCTGAGGGCTGAATATCTCCCAAGGCTTTCTCTGTGCTGCTGCTACGTCATTCTTCAGAGTTGTCTGAGTTTCAGGATTTCAGATTCTTAAACCATCTTCTTGAAGCTGGTATGCATTTTAAATTTATTTTTTTTCAAAGAACAAAACTCAGATCACCGGAATTCTGTATCTGTGAGCTCATTCAGTTAGCAGTTTGGTTGAAAGGTGGTATCCTTAAAAATAGCAACTGTGGAGCTTTGGTGCATGCATACCACCCACAGAGTGACACAGAAATGTCTTAAGGAGTCTGGGCACATTTGTGATGCTACTCTGTCATTTTCCTTCATTTTTCTAGAATGCCACCATAAGAAAAAATAAGATGAAAAAGTAGAGATACACTCTCACTATTATCTTAATATAGACACTTTGCACAGCAATAAATGCCTGCTACACAGATTTGGTGAAAATTGTAAGACTGTTTGAGGGGGAAGGGCCGGGAATGGAAACTCATGGCATTTTAGTTTATTCCATTCAGGTGCTCACCCACTGCTCCTGCACTGGCCACTGAGCTGGATCATTTGATAAACGTTCTTACAGGCTTCCAATTTCTTTCTACTCAATCAGTTTGTGGTACTGACTATCAACTCATGAAGTGTTAGACACCCATGATGACTCCGGGGACAGAACCCTCCTGTTCTGGGAGAGCTGCACAAGTTGTGTGGGAAACACTGCCAAGCATTTCCCTGGAGTCTTGGCCAGTAGGTGTCATCTCCAAGGAGCGGCAGGTGGGATTTTCCACAGTTTCAGTGTTCAGACCTCTCGCCTTCTCTAGGTATCAGGTCTGAGCATGCCAAAGTCCCTTAGCTCCCACTGGGATTGGAACCTTGTGGGAATTGATTCCTAAGCCAGAGGAGCCCAGAAGTCCACAGAAATACTGATGTGAGTTGGAAGGAAACTGTTCTAGGGATAGGAAGCCGAGGGCTCCTGAAAGCAGGAACTGTCCACTGCATCCTCCTCTCAAGGGCTTTTGGCCAGAGATTAAAGCAAGTAAAGAAGAATCTTAAAAGGATGAATGTCAATGCCACTTCCTCCCCAATTTTATTGCAACTCTGCTTTTATTCCTAAATATTTTGCTATTTACATAGTTCAAGGCTAAAACACTAACTGTAGGAAAAAGTCTAATGACTTGGCTTTGTGTTCCACAAGGAGCCTCTTCCTGACTGTGTGCTCACGCACTGTAACTCATCCCCCCGGTGCTCACGGGGCCCCACAGGGTTGCGCACACTGGGGCCAGCACGGTGAATGGAGAGATAAGTCCTACCCTCCAGGGCTTCTACTGTAAATGAAACCCCATGTTCCCTAGACAACAGCCTTGCTTGCTGAAGGTCCAAGAGCTCGGGGTTCTTTGGTTTGGAAATGACCACTGTCCAATGAAGATGATAGAACACTAAGAACAAAAAAAATGAGAAGATAACAATATTAACACCTTTATGTACATTAGTTGCTGAATTTATAGTCCAATGAGACACTATTGTAATCCAATCAGGTACTATTACTAATCTAATTTATGAATAAAGAAACTGAGACCCAAGAGACTAATACTTGCACAATGTCCCATGGCCAGAAAATGACAGAGGCTGGATTTGAGCTCAGCTCAGGATGTCTGATTTTACAGCGTTATATCAGTTATGAGACTTTAAGTCTTCTATTCTTAAAATGTGGCCTTTCTCCAATGAGAAAAGGTGGAAAAAGAAATAGCTCCTTTTTATAAAAATTGATAAAGAACAAACTGCAGTAAAACAAAAGAGGATAAACTGAGTAGTGGTGCTTCCGTGGCACTCTGGAAGTTGAGGCAGGAGGATTATGAGTTTCAGGTGAGCCTAGACTATACAGGAAGATCTTGTGAGAAAAGAAAGAAAGAAAGAAAGAAAGAAAGAAAGAAAGAAAGAAAGAAAGAAAGAAGGAAGGAGGAAGGGAGAGAGGAGAGGAGAGGAGAGGAGAGGAAAGAAAAAAGAGATGAGATGAGATAAGATAAGGGGTGATCTCAGCATCTGACTTTTTTATCATTAGGAAAAGGCAGGAATTTTCAGGGATCCCTTTCCTATGAACACATCTGAGACACGTTCAGACAGAGACTGATGGGTAGAAACACTCCTTCATGTGATGGTGAATCCATTGTGTCCAGGCAACCTGGATGAAATTGCCCATATCACATTTGGCTGAAGTAGTAGTGAAAGGCCTAGCCACCTGCACATGCCTCATGCAGAAAACCCAAGGCTCAAAGCCCACCATTACCTTGAGTGGTAAGAGGCTGAGACCCCCCCCCATGGCAGAAATTAGTGGTTGAGGTTAGGCAGGAAGAATAAGTACTGGACTCCTACAGCACAGCAGCATGACTAGATTTTACAACAATTTATTATGCTTTATAAAGAGTGCCAAGGCAGTGTGTAGCTTCCCAACATAAAGAACTGGGAAATGTCTAAGGATATGAAAACGCTAGTTACACTGTTCTCATCATTAGACACTGTATACATTACTGAATTATCTATTCACTATAATCCATCCATTGTCCTATTTTAAAAAGAGTACTATTTTATGAAGAAATAAAACCTCACCTGGTTAATGTTTTTTTCCCTTCTGATCTATAGGAAGTACATTTGAAGAATGCAAGTAGAGGGAGTGCAGGCAACAAGAACTTCAGGATGTAGGAAGACCCACCTGGAGAGTGGAGAATGACGTGTCACCGCAGCATCCCTTGCTCTGCACAAGTCACCTGTTAAAACATTGGAACACCTCCCAAAACATAAGTTTGACAACATTTCAAAGATGGGCATTTCTCCCCAGTGAAATATACAACTAAATATTCCAACATTGTCTTTAGGAGTGATTGTTGTAAGCTTTGCACTTGCAAAAATGGTCTTGGAGTTGGTAGATTGCTGTTGATTCTTTATAAGTAATGTTCTATAGAGAAAAACGTATCTATCTTAGTCCCTGCCTCTCAAGAGCCACAATGCATGGGTGTCATTTAGATCCAGTTGCACTAAATTCCTCTCTAAATCTTGGCTGCTGGAACAGTTCAGCAATCTGTCTTAGTGGTTTATGAATTGTTTTCTTATTTGCACTTCTTTCTACGTAACACAAACTGTTGGTCTTACAGTGTCTAACAGTCTTTGTCTGTGTCCACCACTCCCTTCATTACGTTTGCAATTCGGCAACCATGGCCTCCTCGGAAGCGCTGCTAAGTAGGCATGCCACCCACCGAGTTTTAATCTACCAGACTCCACCTGTGGCATTTATACCAAACATAAATTGATACATTTATTTTACACACAAAACTTTAATTTTTCCACATTACAACACACACACACACACACACACACACACACACACATACAAATCAGACAAAACAGTTGCAACTTTGAGGCCAATCATTTTTAGGTGTACGTTTGAAACACAGAAAGTCTCTTAAACTCTCAGCAGTTCCTTCAAAGGGTGAGTTAGTGTGCAACCCGATTGTCCTTCTCTTGTTTTATTTTTTCCATATAGAGCACTATGTAAATTTATCATATCAATAATACAGGATATATCAAATCATATGTAAAACTCTGGTTTTTTTAGTACAATGGTGCTATTTTGTAGTTTGTTACATGAAAGAGTCTGGTCAAAATGGTAAAAGGTGAAAGCAAAATGGAAGGGAAAGCCTGGAGCCAAAGACGGCGCAGAGAGGGTGGAGAAGGGAGAAGCCCGTCCCTTGGGGGAGGACACAACCCACCCCGTGACCCTGCCCCAGCTTCAGATGCAGGAGTCCATACATGCAGCCTTGACCAGGGAGTCCAGAGGAAGCTGTGGAATGCCAAGAGTAGAAGGCCAGGGCTTGTGAGTACTGGTTTCTTTTTCTCACTGAAGAAATGAACACCTAGGCACTCTGCCATGGACTCACCACTGCGTGATCTTGGGCTAGTCCTTTCACCTCTCTGTGCCTGTCTCCTCATCCGAAAAATGGGGGCAATATGTCATCTACCTACCTCAAAGGGGTGGTATGAGGATTAACAAGATTAAAGTCAGACTTGTACCCAGCTTTGCTATGAGGGTGCAACACCAGAGCCCCCGAAGTGCTAAGGTGCAAGGAATTCTACCAGCAGCCGCTCCCCACACAGCTAGAGAGCCTGGGCGGCGTGCTCCTGGTAGCTCAGTTCCAGCCAATGCTAGACAACCAACCAACTAGGGTTTAAAGCTAGCAGCTCAGTATCTCCAAACTCTCCAAAAAGTTAGAAACATTCACTTTACAGTTTGGTTTTGGATTCCACCTTTGAACATATAAATATAAAGCTAAGTGAAAAGGGAGAAAGGAAAAGGAAAAAAGTAGAGAAAAAAGATTTCTACCAGTGAAAGGGCACTTGATTATTCCACTACTCAGCACTTACTGGTTCTCCAGATAGCCTTACTCACCTAGTAACACCTCTTTTAATATTATAAATATACTCTATTTATGTTGAAAAATACATTTTTCTTCTCTTTGGACAATATAAGAAAAATGTCCCAAATTTTTAAAGATTGAAATAACATCTAATAAAAAGTCACAAAAGAACTTCCCTCAATGCATTCGTATTCTTGGTTGTATATGCACATATATTTTTTAATTTTGTTAAAAGATGCTAAGTAGAGTTGCTAGTTGAGAGGCAGCACTTGTGTTCCCAATCTTGAAATTCCCCTCGTGTCTACCTGGCTTTCATTGAGGCTGGACCTTCAACATTTAACCCAACACTGACACCCGGAAAATCCTGCGGTGAGGACAGGCCATCATGGAGGCTAGAAATTGCTCCTGGTCTCTGGATCAAAACTTTCCTTTTAGACAATAAATTATCCAGCATTCAGATATTCACTTGCCTTAGACTTTCTGGTAAAAAGCTTAGCAAGTTGGATTATCTCACCTATATTATATGCTTTATGCTGTTGACAAGGTATATGGAAAACAAAATTGACATCCTTCATCTAGCTCACTGGGTTAGCTCAAGGCCCAGAGGTCAGGAAGAGAAAAGGTTTCCTGGCTCTGTGGTAGCGTAGGAGGAACTGTGCAGGGGAGTCCACCAACCTGTGCACCCGAAACCTAGCCCCCGGCGCCCTCGGGGCTGCACTCCTGCTGAGGTCAGCAAGGCTCTGGCCACAGCGGGGAGGCCACGCCCACCCTCCGCTCGTCCTGCAGATCGTGGGCTCTGCGGGCTGACCTGTCGTCCTCCTTCCGGGGGGCACCTGGGGGTTTTTTCTTCTTGTTCCCAGTGTGCACCTTTCCAAAATTGCTCACTCCCAAGAACACTTTGCAGGGCGTTCTCTGCAGACATGGCTTCCTGAGGAATTGGATGTGGTCATTTTGAGAGTGTCTGTGGCTTGCTTTGTTCACTGAACTCTACAAACAGTCAAAAACTTCCAATGAGGAGAGCATAAAAACACCATGCCATGCTATTTTTTAAGCTTTTTCCAACACATAATCCTCTCCAACTAGATCATAATCAACTACTAAAAAATTAATTATACTCGCTGGGCATGGTGGCACATGCCTGGGATGCTAGCGTCTAGGAGGCTGACTCAGAAGGATCACAGTTTCAAGTCCAGCCCGAGGCAACACAGTGACTTAGACCCTTTCTCAATCAGTCAATCTGCTAAGTCAGTCTTTTATTTCCAAGTGGATAAACACTAGAAGACAAATCACTATAAACCCGGAGGATCAAGTCTCTACCCTGCAGCAGAAGGACTTGGAGTTCACTGAAGGGAGGGGGCACCAAAAGCGTCACAGCTCTTAGGAGCCTCACACGGAGTCCCGGGAGTTTTAGCATCTAGAAGCAGGGCACTATGAAGATTTTTAAGAACTGCAAATAACTGGGTAGAATGTGCGATCAGCTAATAGGCTGAAAATTAAAATTTTCAATTTAATTGGTAATACTCAATGCCTAGGATGAAGTTTGATCCTCCTCCCCCAAACACTATAAATTATTATTTAAACAGTTTTAGATGAAGCAGTTCCACTGAAAAGGTTAATTCAGCTGTGTGTCAGATTCTACTCTTTTAGACTAAAAGAAAAACTCAATATCCGCTCTATTACCCATCTGTCTCTACACACACACACACACAGTCCAAAAAACTACTAATAAATTCACTTCCTTGAAAGTTTTATTAAAAATGGAAGACCAGAAAAGCCTCTCCCACCCCCAAATATCCTTCTCCTCCTTGGAAAGTCGGCATTCCTGTAGGTGAAACCATCTCTGCTCTGTGGCTCCAGGGTTTCTATTATTGGCTTATGGACCCAAGAGAAGGCTTAGAAAGAAAATGTAGCATATTTTGCTTTCCCATTTATTGTTCGGCCAGCTATGCCAATGTGGTGCTATTGTTTCTTTAAGAAAGTACTTGACTAAAAAAAAGAAAGCATAGACATATTTTTTTAAAGTATGAAAACAACAATTCTATAGATAGATGGCTTAAAAAATATCATTAGGTCTAGTCACCGCCACCTTTCAGCTTTTTATCACTTCTAAGTATTGTTCACCAGGCGATGAGTTTGGGATACAGGGGCGGAAGATGGAAAATTAGTAAAGGTGATAGGCTCCGTTATTTTGTCGGCTCTCGAACTCAGCAAAAGTCACAATGTATTAACCAATCTGAAGACTTTAGTGGAGAGTATGGAATTTATACAAGGGGAAAAGACCATACAGGCAAATGGCAAAAGGAAGATTCTGTTGCTTATTGATTTTTTGTGCTCTGCTCTAAAACATATTCAAGCAAGTACAGAAAATAAAAAAAAAAAAAGAGAGAGAGAGAGAGAAATACATCGATTCACCTAGTACTAAAAATAGCTCCTGCCACATCCTCCCGGGCAGGCTTTGGCTCTGGCAGCCTCCGTTTGCTCTGACATCTCCAAGAGCAGCAGCACTCCGAGAGCAATCACTGGTCCCACTGGGAAGGAGAGAGCATCTCCTCACGAGAGGGGGTTATCTACTGATCAAGAGAGAAGAATTTATGAGAAATTGTTGAAAAAGATGGCTAACAATCTGTGAAGATTTTTGTGTTTTTGGTTTTTTTGCTTTTTGATTTTTACTTTATACAGTCTTTATGAATATCTTAATGTTCAAAAATGACTCAGTCTTTTTCTCTTTTTTCATATTGGAATACGGGATGATAGGTTAAACCCATGTAGGCTTTTTAAACTATAGGCTAGATAGGAATGTATGTTTGACTTATTGAATCAGACTATTTAAAATGTTTTGCTATTTTTAATCTTAAAAGATTGTCCTAATTTATTAGAGCAGAACCTATTTGGCTCTTCTCACACGAAAGTGCAGTCCCATTCTAATTTCACAGGCTTTCCTAGCAATTTTTTTTTAAATCTGACTTATCTTTTAGCATTATTCACTTTAAAATACAGTAGAAAAATATGAGTCACTCTCTCGCTCCTCTGCAATGAGCATAAAGTCCAAGGTCAGAGGGGACAAAAGCAGAAGGAAGGTTTTATAGTTCCTTGTATTTTGTTTAGATTTTGTTTTCAGTGCTAGTGTTTAATCCTATAGTACTTATATGCTTCTTGCTATTTTGATATTCTATAAGATTTTCCCGTTAGGTATTAGAAGCGGATACTTAGATAAGTTTTTATGTGATTTCTATTTAAAAAGAAAAAGGAGACAAAAAAAGATTTAAATGCCTATGGTACAAGATAAAGATGCCAATGTAAGTAGCAAAGTGTGTTTACAGACTAACCCCTACACACACACACACACACACACACACACACACACACTCTTTAAAAACAAAAAAAGGAAAAACGCTCACAGATAAGACAGGCCCAGGGGCTTTTTGAAACCGCATTTAATCCTCTAGTTTTTGTTTTTTTTTTTCCAGACCCAGTGTCAGTGCTATACACATGGTGCCAAGCTGAAACCCTAGAATTAAAGGATCCTCTTTAAAAACACATATTTCAGGTAGATCTTGACTACCCTGATATTAAACATGGTCCTTCTCTCTCCCTTTTTTCAACTGTCATGGATGTGGATGTTCCCGAGGGAAATTTTTAATTAGAAAGAGTGACAGAACGCGAATGTCCAAGACATTACTGCCCACTTGAAATATGAGCTAAGGCAGAAGGCGTCTCTCCTGTATGACTTTCCCGGTGAAGCACCTTCACAGCGCCCCTCCACAATCCGCAGGCTTTGCCTCTGTGAAAACTGCCAGACCTACAAGCGAGGATTATTCATTTTCTTTTGCCCCAAATGCACTGATGTAAAGTAGGAAAAACAAAAAATGGGCTCTGAAACCCCCTTCCACGTCACCCACTGACCCCACTGAGATAGCCACGGCACTTCTGTTGGTCTCTTAGTCTAATTGTATTTGGATATTTATCTTGTACCTGCTGCTAAGTATGCTGCAGGAGGGAGCTCTGAAACCTCAAGCTATCTACTTGCTATCCCTTCTCTCTGCCTACGCATCGTTAAAATGTCTATTCAAAATATCAAAAGTGTTAAACATCATGCAGCTTATAGTCAGTTGATATAAAAGCCCCAAGTTCCACATTGGATCTCTTTTTCTGCTAAGAGAGTTAATGAACTATGAGAATTGGGAGCACATTATGTATTTTGTTTCATGTATTTTTATCACACTTATAGGCCAAGGGTGATAAATAAACCTACAGACACTGAATTAATTTTCCCTGCCACTTGAAACCAGAAAATAATGAGTGGTCATTCATTGCATCTGCTTCAGTTCGAACGCATCTTTTTTACTAAATTACTTCTGATTGTATTTGAAATTATTATTCAATTCATTTATGGCAGAGGAACATCAGCCCTAAAGACTTCTAAAAATGTAACCAAGTCATTATCTTACATTTACTGTTTCATAAGCGTGTTTTGAAAATGTACGGCTAGGGTGTCATAATAAAATGGTATATCTTTCTTTAGTAATTACATTAAAATTAATCATGTTTGATTTCATTGATTCTTTTGGATGATGTTGGTGTAAAGTGTCATTGCTTAAGAAGTTTACTAGTAAATAGCATTTTTATTAATTAAGATCTTGCAACAAATAAACATGAAAACATACCCGGAAAGTGAAATTAATAATACAATAAAATGGAGATAGCTTATAGAATTTACAGGTTATATTTAAAAATAAATGTTTTAAAGGACTTGTACAAAGCATTATGAGTAAGAGATGTATGGATCTTACAACATAGGTACTGATGACAAATTAGAAACTGACCCCGTTCACTGTGACCCAAAATCCGGGAGTGAGTAAATATCTATGACACGAGATGTTTGGGGAAAGATTCTGTGAGCACACTACACGGGTACATAACGCACCTGGCATGGCAGGCACTCCCGTACTCAGGTTTGATAAGAACACAATCTCCCAGAATTGAGTTTTTATTTCAATAAATCTAATTCTTTTACTGAATAGATCCTACAGCTATCAAACTCATAAGAGCCTTTGGAAATGCAAGATGTAAAGATTAATAATTTCTCTCCTTTTGGAAACATGTAATTCCATTTTCCTTTTTATAGACCCCATGTTAACTACTCTGAAAGCTGCTCAAATGTGAAAAAAGGCTCAAGACTTTGTACGTGGCTTCCAGGAAATAAGACTGAAGTTCCCTTAGTATTTTCTACTGTGACACTCACAGCTCAGCTCTTTCCCTCCGTCCCTCTCTCTCTCTCCCCCTCTGGGGGTCTCCTCACCTGTATTCACATTTTTCAGTCCCGCTCCCTCCAAGCATCCTATTCACACCACCAGCATCTCGTGTCCTTTGGCCAAGATTTTCTGCAACCCCTTTCTTGAGGCTCTGCCCTTAAGGATTCTGCCTTGCTTCACCCCTGCTTCACACCAGGCCAATCTAGT